GGTCTGGGGAAGACATGTTAAGTCAATGGGAGAGGTCTCACCTGCAGAAGTCTGTACTCCACCTCTTTCAGAGACTATGTTCCATCATGGATCTTTCTCAGGGCTGGGCTACACTAACACTGTCGGCTGATCTATGTTACACTACTTCAGTTACATAACTCTCCCGGTGACATAGCGCGGTGTGGACACTGCTGTAAGTCAGACCAACTTAGTCAACTTGAAGTAGCGTAACTGAGATCAACTTACAGCAGTAGCATAGAGCAGTCCTGAGAACGATGCAGGACAGAACATAGCCCAGTCGCCAGGGCATTGACGGCAATGTGGGAGACTCACTTTCAAATTGCTTCTCCCCATCAGACAGAGGGTGATATGACCTGGAACTCCCACATCCCGCGGGAGTGATCTAATCACTGGGTTAAAGTCTACAAAGGAAACAGCGCCATTACCGCCTCTTCCATCCATTTCGTCAGTCTGGCCCTACATTATCACTGCTTTCACATCGAAAAGTATCCAGGGAGGAAAGGAAATGTTCCATTTCTGGTCATGCTAAATATTTCCTTCGATCCCACAGGCAATTTCTGTCAATGTTTTCTATTTTGCCAAACATTTAGGGAATTTTCAGATTTGGTTCAGATTGAACTGAATTTGTTTTTCAATTTTTTGTAACCACCCATGAACTCAAAAATCAGCTATTGCCCCAGCTCTATCCATTTCTCACTTACAGTAACCCGAGCTGTACAATTCCCATAACCCCTATTCTTCAGAGTCCATAACACTTTCCAACAGAAATAAGAGTAAGAACTCACAGCTAACCTTCTGATGTGGTATAAACATCTAGTGTCTGATATGACTTTTTCTTTCTGTTTAATTTATATGGTAGAGAAAACTCACCCTCTCCATATTATTTTGTATTCAGTTCAGTGCAGATTCTCACAGAGGATGCACACACACCATGCTTTTATTTGTTTTGTTGGTCCCTTAACTTCAAATAAAGGCCATTGGGATGGAAATCACCTTTCTCCTTCACGTGCATGGATACAAACCAGTGACAATCTCTACAACAACCCCATAGGGGACATAAAGGGCTGCAGAGTATCAGGAGGGTGTGCAAACTCCCTTTGGTTCATCCATAGAAATCCCACACTTCATACTTGCAACTGCATAATGAAACCAAACCCACGACAAAGCAGAGGGAGATAGATTTGATGCCCCGCACTTCCTTCCCAATACAAACAGCTCTGTGCTTTCAAAGCATATCACAGATATTCACACATGTGCAACAGGTGCCCCCTGGAATTTTGCTGGGGCAATACCCCAATAAAGCCCCGATCTTAGTTGGGGCCTGCAGGCCTTGTTGGAATACAAACAAACTAATAATAAAAAGAATACATTAATGAACAATACTATTACGGATTCTGTGAAATTACATTGCAATGGGCTGGGAATTGAATTCACCTGTTTCCACTCCCCATCACTAAACGAGTACTAAGTTAAACAGTTTCAGGAATTGGTTAGGAGTTTATTCATTGCTTTCCTCAGGGCGTCCTTCACCTCCGTGTTCCTCAGGCTGTAGATGAGGGGATTCAACATGGGGATCACCAGCGTGTAAAACACTGAGGCCACTTTATCTGTGTCCATGGAATAGCTGGAGGTGGGACGTAAATACATGAAAAGTTGGATGCCATAAAACAGGACCACAGCGATCAAGTGGAAAGTGCAGGTGGAGAAGGCTTTGTGTCGACCCTCGGCGGAGCGGATCTGCAGGATGGTGGAGATGATATAGACATAGGAGAGGAGGACAGTCACAAAGCTGCTCACTACAATACAGCCAATGAAGGCAAACATCACAATCTCATTGATGCGGGTGTCAGAGCAGGAAAGCACCAGCAATTGGGGGATGTCACAGAAGAAATGATTGATGATATTGGAGCTACAGAATGACAAACGAAGTGTACAAAACGTGTGTATCATTGAATCTACCATGCCCACAGCGTATACCCCGGCCACCAGCCCTTTACAAAGCTGCCTGGACATGGTGAACGTGTAGAGCAGTGGGTTACAGATGGCCACATAACGGTCATACGCCATCACAGCCAGCAAGAGGCACTCAACATCTGCAAAAACAATTGAGAGATACAGTTGCACAGTGCAGGCAGTGTAAGAAATGCTTTTCTTCTCAGCTAAGAAATTCAGCAGCATCTTAGGGGAAATTATTGAGGAAAAGCAGAGGTCACAGAAAGACAAATTACTGAGAAAAAAGTACATGGGGGTGTGGAGTCGGGGATCTATCGTGATTAACAAGATCATCCCCCCATTCCCCACCAGGGTGATACCATAAATCAGTAGGAACAGCACAAACAGGGGAACCTGCAGCTCCGGACGATCTGTCAGTCCTGAGAGAATGAACTCAGTCGCCTCCGAGTGATTTCCCTTTTCCATCTCCTCTGAACAGAAATCAGGCAGCTACAGAGATGTGGGCAGGTGGATGGTGCGAAAAACCTGTCTCCTCTCTGTAGTGAAGTAAGTGATGATAAATGGATATCAGTTTCTTAATGGACATGGGTACCCGCTCAGGGAAGGGCTTAATCCACAGAGCCAGATGTTCACTGATGCTCATTCCAGTTGTTCAATAAAATACACACTGCGTAAATACAATGACACACAGGTTAATCATTCCCCACACACTAACACTCCTGTTTACTAATCCGAGGAGCAAGATGTGACTTCTGTCTCTGCTGTATGAGTATCAGGGTGAAAATCATCTCACTCTG